ATTTATGAATGGAATTGTATATGTAACAAAAATGCTTTTATTTTTGAAACTTCAGCTAGTGTGATTTTGACTAGACCTTACTATTTCACATAGTGATTAGATGAGGGCATGCCTTACACTGCTGTCCTTCAAAAGAGTGCATGCAAATTATCATAAAAAATAACAACAACAAAAAGTACACCGAACCAAACCAACAAACTGTTTATGAGGAAAAAATTAAAGAAACTGTTGCCTAATGTGATGAACTTCAAAATCCTCTTCAGAAAATTAAAAATAATCAGATTCTCATTGTACCACTTTTTGATTACTTGCAACATTATTGTAATATGCAAATACTTTCACTTAGTGTTCTCAAAGTATTGGCTTTTACTATCTGGAAAGAGTTCAGAAAAAATCCATGGCAATTGCATTTTTGCATAGTTGTATAGAGTAGCAAAGGAGAATAAGCAATAACTTATTGGACTCCTATTATTGCTTCTGTGTCAGAGCTTTGATCAGGGTGTTTCCATCCAACATATCATTCAAACCCTCTTTCTTTTAATAATAGTATCTATTTTGGGCTTATAAAACTGTGTCTCAGGAAGCATGTGTGCCTCAAGAATGTGAATAGCAGATAGAGAAGGGAAAGGACTTGAACCTATCTCATTTAGTTTCTTTAAAATCTATTTACCATATGTTGCAAAAGAAATTTCTCAAAAATATGTATAGTTCTGAGCAACGAAAGTTTTAAATGCAATGTAAATATACTAAAGTTTCTCAAATATTTGCTTCATCCAATATTATTGTCTGATTGCACCTTGTGCTCTTTTCTCACATATTCCCTTGTATATTTCCTTCTTCTCCACCTGAACCTGCACTGACTTTTAAGAGCTCTCTATGATCTCTCTCCAGCTATGGTCCCCTTAATGCTAGGAGGAAAACTCTTGGGATGGGTGTCCAGCTTCTGCTGCTTTCACTGCTTACACCTCTGGGCAGAACACCAGAAGTGTGGAGAAGACAAACAGCAATGGAGGCCAGTTCTCCCCACCACAGATTTGATCCTGGGCCTCTCCTCATGCGCCTCCTACTGCTGCTGCCTCTGGTTTCTCCTGGTTTCATTTGCCTTCTCTTATCTGATCCCGAGTCCTCTTTGGGTGTAACATTTTGTTCTCTCAGTTTCCTGGAGTCTGCATGCCCCTTCCAACTCTTCATTTTCATTATTATCTTCTCTTACAGTCTACATTCTTTCTGAAGCCATACATGAAGAATTCAGTATATAACCTCATGCCAACGTGACCTGAAAAGGAGCTAACTCAGTTTCCCTGAGAAATATTTACCATGTACTAGATATAAATAATCTCAGAGGAAATATTTTGATATGAAAAGTATCTGAACCTGGATGAAGAATGAAAGGAAGAAAAAAGAAAGCAAAAAACAAACCCAACAAACTCTTCATAAACTATGAGGTGTGTCTTTTGTAATGGACTAATTCAAGCTCATTTAAGTTATTTAATTCAAGCTAATTAGCTTGAACCACAATTGCAATGTGGTGTATACTACAGATGGATAACATCACAACAGCAGTACACTTTTATAACTGGCAAACAGGTGTCTGGGTTTATTTAACAATCTAGCTAGCATAAACCAGATTTCTATTTATTGTGGGAATAGTTGGTGCGTATGATATTGCTTCAAAGAAGAGAAGCCAAATCTTTGTGAGGTATTTCTATCTTTAAAGTAGTCCTGAAGATATTGTTTCATACTGCAGAACTTTATAAAAGTGCTATTTTCATATCTTCTCAGCATTCAGCATCCATTTCACTCTATAGTAATATTCTAAACCTATTATGATTGAGATATGAACAAAACTTACCTCTTTGCATGTGTGAAAGAGAAAACATATTCTATTGTTTTGTAAATGTAATATAGAGCTAATTTTTATTTGAGTACAAACCCGACTACGTATTCACGCAGATAAACATGCTCTCTAGGTAAATCTTTCATGATTATATGTTAGACTGCTGTTAAATACGAAAACAGCTGCCTGTTTTGAAGGATGACTAACTGCCAAGGTTTCATGCATACCTTAAACAGTGTTATCAGTCTTTCGGTCTTACTGGAACTTGAACACGATGGAGTGATAAAGATCAGGATATCCATCACTGATAACGTAAGCTCTTAAGTTATTAAGAGAAGTAAGTCTAATCATATATGCCTAAGTATAGGGAAAATAGACTGATTACTGCTAACCCCACTCATATGTAAACCTATAAAAAAAGAGAGAACATACTGCTAAGGTTAATTGCTGAAAACAGAAACATTTTGGTGAGACACAAGTTAAGTTTGTAGCCACTGAAGAACATAATTCAGAAAAATTAGATTTCTTAGTGTCTCCAGATAAAGACATTTGTGGAAAATCTCTGTGAGTCAAAAACTAAGTATTGGGATGAGCAGAAAAATCAACTGTAGAAAATAAAAGATCTGTCATACACAGGAGCTATGACTACAGGTTCAAACAGCACTGTGATTCCAAAGAGTTTTTCTACACAAAAAGAGCTGCAGAGCCTACCAAAATTTTTGATTAAATGTATTTCTATTTATTCCAGTAAAAAAGAGATTCTTTTTCCCCAAAAACATCCTGAAGATTATGGACTATGTTTTTCCCTTTTTGCAGTGAAGATGTTCATGAATAATTAATAAAGTTTTAGGTCCAAAATCTCTGAGTAATGGTAAATAACAAGTTTTACAGTGTGATCTATTATCAGCAAATGTATCTTCTGGTATTTAATTCTTTGGTTATACTGTGCTGTGGAACTGGATAATCCTTTTGATTTCCCCACTTTTAGAAATTACCAGTTAAGTGGGAGTGAGAGCAAAATTTTATGACAAAAAATGGGGATTGTTGTTAAGAATGTTGCCTCTTCTTTGCTTCTTTATTGGGTGAAGAGTGTAGGGAGAGGATTTAGCTCTCCTTTTCTGGCATTTTTCTTCTAGCTGTAAGTATAATTTACATAGATTATCACTGCAGCTTTTTCAGCTGCTTAATTAATGGTCTTTTAAGGAAGCTAGCAACACTCCTCTAAGTAGCTTTGTTGGAAACTCGTTATGGCTGAGTTTCAGAATTTGAAAAAAAAAGGAAAAAAAAGAGCAGTTGATATAAATTCTCTTGAAAAATCCATTAAAAATGTGATAATTGATTGGCTAATTTTAAAAATTAATGTTGTGAATATAATACTACTTATAGGGTACACTCCATTCTACCGGACTGTACCTCCTCAGTGAGAATTCTTACAGCGAATGAAGCAGTAATCTCATGGAAATGTAGAAATGAAATAATGGTTTTCCTTCCAGTAATGTCTTAAGCTTGGAGTATATATTGTGAACTCTCTAAAAGAAGATCTCTCAGAGGAAACTTCAGACAGCTCGCTGTTGAGTTGAATGTGACACGTGGGTAAAGAGAATATGTAAAAAAAGGAGCAAAATATCAATAAACAAACTATAAACTTGTAAATATATCTGACTGAACCTGGCTTGAATTGCAAGCTCATGCAAAAACAAATAGACTTGACAAGTGAGTTTTCTTATGTGTTTATTCTGCTCCACAATGACTGTAACTGTCTGCAGAAGAGTTTGTTCTTTAAACAAGAATAAAAGTCTGTACCATCTGTTTATAACTCTTGATATGGACCTTTTGTAGCTAACCAAACACTATATCTTAATTTTCAGCAAGACAGTGTGTTTTTTCTGTAATTTTTCATTTTCCTCTGCAATATTTCAATGTGTTAGTTGTAGGTTATCACAGCCATTACCCGTTTTAAGTAAGAATGGCTGGAATAAGGATATGACAGCAATTCAGAAGGGCTAAGATGACAGTGTCTTCAAAGTAGTTGTTCATTCTTTGATCAGATGAAACAAAATATATTGCGTATAGATTTGAACTCATAGATGAAGACTATGTACTTCTGTTTCTGCTCTTGTGTTTTGCTTTTTACAGGCAGAAGATGAGAACAAAAAATAGTCATGATATGGATGACAACACAGCAAAGTTTGATGTAAGAAAGATTTGAAGAATGTATTCACTGCAAATTAAAATGACAAAATTAGCAAAGTTGAGAGGACCAAAGCAAATTACAATCTTCAACTGAATTTATTCAAGATAGGTGATTTCTGAGCTAGAGAAATATATTAAATAATATTTGCACATATGGCACATCTGGACAAGAAGAATTCCTCATTTAAGCTTATTACCTCTCAGTGTTCTTCATCTTCTTAACTCCTTACAATCCAAATGAAAATTATCTGGAATCTTGAGGAAAAAAAATATCTGAAAAAGGCCTAACAAACACAAAAATACAATTAATACAAGATACTGTACTTGTGTTTTATAACCAGAAAGTGTTTCTATTTGAAACAGAAAATAGAAAAAGGCCTTAAGTACTAACACGATTCATGTTTTAGATGCAATGGGAAAACAGGGTAGCAGGAAGAGAAAAGAGATGGTAAAACTTTAATTCGAAGTGCTACATGTGCAGTAGCATAAACAGGCTAAATAGTACACAAGCTGCTCACTCACTGCACCCACCAGTGGAACAGGGGAGAGAAAAGTGCAAGAACTTTGTGTGGGCAGAGAATGAGATGGGGAATCCTGTTACTGGCTGGATGAGGACCCTGGTGTGGAGAAACTGTGAATGCCCTACCCCTGGAGGTGCTCAAGGCTAGGTTGGATGGGGCCCTGAGCAATCTGATCTAGAGCCCAGTTTAGTAGTTGGCAGCCCTGCCTACGGCAGGGGGTTGAAGCTAAATGGTCTTTGAGAACCCTTCCAACCCAAGCCATCCTATGATTCTATGAACTTGTGAGTTAAGGACAGTTTAATAATAAAGAAAAAAAAAATCAGGAAAGAAAAGATAAAAATAAAGGAAATAAAGGAAAAAGTACAAAAACAATAACAAAAAATAAGTGAAGTATGAGATGCACAATGCTGATGCTCACCACCAGCTGACCAAAGTCCTGTCTGCCCCTGAGTACTTGCCCTTTGATCGCCGAGGATCGCTGCTTCAGAGCTGCTCCAGCCTGAAGCGCAGCTACTGACCTCGAGGTAGAAGGGGTTTCGGTCGGTTCCCTCGCTCAGGGATCCCCGAGAGAAAACCGAGCAGAACAGAGCAGAACAGAGCAGCCAGGCAGCTCTCGGCCAGGCAGCTCTGGCGAGAGCGGCCGACGCGGCGGGGGTGTCGCCAGGGCAACGGCTCTGCACCCACCCCGTCTTGCCTAGAAATAGCCTCAGGGAGCGACCGGTCGCTGCCCAGTGAAGAAGGTGTGAGGAGCACCGGGGCTGATTTATCAAGGAGAAACAGTAAGCCACTCCTACACGGGACTCCCCCTTAAGAACGGCTGTTATCGCCCTTGGGTAAGTGATAAGTGCGGGGGCTCCTGTTAAGGACCCGGCAACTGGGCGTGGGCAGAACCAGCACTGCCGGCAGCAGGGCGGGGCTGATAAGGCGCACCTCATTAGGGTTATTTAGTAGTGTTTATAGCTGCTGGTCTGCGATGGCTGCACCCCGGAGGAAGGCTAATGCCACAAAAATTATGCAGACCCAGAAGGCAGTCCCATGCTCATGCAGAAAAAAGACTACAGCCAAGAAGAATGTGGAGACCCAGATGGAGATCTTGTGCCTGCTTGAAAGGATAGATGGTGCAAAGATGAGTGTGGAGGCTCAGACTGAGGCTCCAACACAAGATGCTAGTATGCTGTCACGAGTGCCAGAGCCTGGCCTTTGAAGTACCAGATGATGATGATGGTAGTTGTATAAGGTGTGACCAATTACAGGACTTACTCAGCCTGGTGGTCGACCTGAAGGAGGAGGTAGAGAGGCTGAGGACCATAAAGGAGTGTGAGAAGGAGATTGACTGGTGGTGCCAGTCCCTGTCGGCTCATCTGGGAGCGTAGCTGAGGCACCGCATGGAGCATCTCACCCCCCGCAGCCTCGTAAACAGGTGAGAGAGGGGAAATGGCAGGCTGACTGTGTTGCAGTGAGCCTCCTGTCCTCTCCTCCACCTTTGAGCAATTTGAGAAAGGGGGAGGAGTAGAAACAGGTACTGGTTCGACGAAGCAGGCATCCCCCATCTCGACCATCTTCGGCCCTGCAGGTGCCTCTGCGTAATAGGTTTGAAGCCCTGGAACCTGAGGGAGAGGAGTGTGGGGATATGGAGGGAAGTCAATCTGTGAGGTTAACTCTGGTACAGCGGTCAACCCCATGCCTCAAGACTGCTTCCACTCGGAAGGACAGAAAGGTGGTGGCTGTGGGAGACTCCCTGCTGAGAGGAACCGGAGGCCCTAAATGTCGCCCTGACCCTGCCCATAGGGAGGTGTGCTGCCTTCCTGGGGCACGGGTCAGGGACATTTCTAGGAGACTTCCTGGTCTGATTCGCCCTTCCGATTATTGGAAAACAATAGGAAGAATTTCTACAGCTACATTGGCCACAAGAGATGTGCCAAAGCGAGTGTGCCTCCTTTGGTAAATGTAAAAGGAGAACTTGCTTCAATGGACAGTGAGAAGGCTGAGGTACTGAACAAGTTATTTGCCTCAGTCTTCACTGGTGGACAAGATTCCAGAACTTCTCACATTCCCGAGCCCTGCATCCCTAAACCTCTAGGTGGGGACCGGGGCGACAAACCCCCCCAACCCCCCCCACTGTGAGGACAGAGCAGGTCCGAGACCACCTCATGAGACTGAATGTATATAAGTCTATGAGGCCGGATGGCGTGCATCCCAGAGCTCTGAAGGAGCTGGCTGAGGTGGTTGCCGAGCCACTCTCCATCATTTTTGAAAAGTCATGGCTGTCAGGTGAGGTCCTGGATGACTGGAGGAAAGGTCACGTCACTCCCATTTACAAGAAAGCAAAAGCAAGGAGGACCCTGGGAACTACAGGCTGGTGAGTCTCACCTCTGTGCCTGGGAAGATCATGGGACAGATCATCCTGGATGACATGCTCGACCACATGAGGGATGGGCGTGTCATCCGTGACAGTCAGCGTGGCTTCATCAGAGGAAGGTCATGCTTGACCAATCTGGTGGCCTTCTATGATGGAGTGACAGCATCAGTGGATAAGGGAAAGGTGACCGATGTAATTTACCTGGACTTGAGCAAGGCCTTTGACATGGTCCCCCATCACATCCTCATCTCCAAATTGGAGGGATGTGGATTTGATGGATGGACCACTCGATGAATAAAAAGCTGGTTGAAAGGCGGCAGACAGAGGGTGGTCATCAATGGCTCTGTGTCCAGGTGGAGGTCAATAACAAGCGGTGTCCCCCGGGGGTCTGTCTTGGGACCGGTGCTCTTCAACATCTTAATCAATGACATCGATGTAGGAATCGAGTGCACCCTCAGCAAGTTTGCTGATGACACCAAGCTGAGCGGTGCGGTCGACACGGTTGAAGGAAGGGATGCCATTTGGAGGGACCTCAAGAGGCTAGAAAGGTGGGCCCAGCTGAACCTGATGAGGTTCAACACAGAAAAGTGCAAAGTTTTGCACTTGGGCCGGAGGAATCTCAGGCATCCATAGAGGCTGGATGGAGTGGTCCTTGAAAGCAGCCCTGTGGAGAAGGACCTGGGGGTCCTGATAGATGAAAAACTTAATATGAGCATATGAGCCAACAGTGTGCTCTTGCGGCTTGGAGGGCAAATGGTATCCTGGGGTCCATCAAAAGAGGGGTGGCCAGCAGGGACAGGGAGGTGATTGTCCCCCTCTACTCTGCTCTTGTGAGGCCCCATCTGGAATACTTGTCCAAGTGTGGAGCCCGCAGTACAAAAAAGACAGGGAGCTATTGGAGAGGGTCCAGAGGAGGGTCACTAGGATGATCAGGGGACTGGAGCACCTCCCCTATGAGGATGTTCACCCTGGAGAAAAGAAGGCTGCAGGGTGACCTCATTACAGACTTTGAATACCTAAAGGGAGCCTACAGAGGGGAGGGAAATCAACTCTTTGAAAGGGTAGATAACTGCAGGACAGAATCACAGAATCACCTGGGTTGGAAGGGACCTCAAGGATCATGTAGTTCCAACCCCCCTGCCTAGCAGGGCCACCAAACATACACATTTAGATCAGGTTGCCCAGGACCCCATCCAACCTGGCCTTGAACACGTCCAAGGACGGGGCATCCACAACCACCCTGGGCAGCCCGTTCCAGGGCCTAACCACTCTCCTTGTGAAGAACTTCCCCCTAACATCCAACCTAAATCTTCCCTCCTTCAACTTGGATCCATTTCCCCTAGTCCTGCTGTTGTCAGCCCTTATGAAGAGTTTACTCCCCTCCTGGGTGTAGGTTCCCTTCAGGTATTGATAGGCTGCAATGAGGTCACCCTGCAGCCTTCTCCAGGCTGAACAAGCCCAACTCCCTCAGCCTGTCCTCATAGGGAAGGTGCTCCAGCCCCCTGATCATCTTAGTCGCCCTCCTCTGGACCCTTTCCAAAATCTCTATGTCTTTCTTGTACTGAGGGCTCCACACCTGGACACAGTACTCCAGATGGGGCCTCACAAGAGCCGAGTAGAGAGGGACAATCACCTCCCTGTCCCTGCTGACCACCCCTCTCCTGATGGAGCCCAGGATCCCATTTGCCTTTTGAGCTGCCAGAGCGCACTGCTGGCTCATGTTAAGGGGACAAGGGGAAATGGTTTTAAGTTGAGGGAGGGGAGATCTAGGTCGGACATCAGGGGGAAATTCTTTACCCAGAGAGTGGTAAGGTACTGGAACAGGCTGCCCAGAGAGGTTGTGGATGCCCCGTCCTTGGAGGTGTTCAAGGCCAGGTTGGATGGGGCCCTGGGCAGCCTGGTTTAGCATTTAATGTGGAGGTTGGTGGCCCTGCATGTGGCAGGGGGGTTGGAGATTCATGATCCTTGAGGTCCATTCCAGCCCTGGCCATTCTGTGATTCAGTGTCTACCAGGAAAAGGTCATTCACTGATAATTGTCAATGGTTATTCTATATAGAATAACATCTTTCAAACTGCATAATTCTTCACTGTACTGCTGTTCAAAAAAGGTCACTTTTATTTTCTCTTGTTGCAGTAATGAGTACACTGTATTTTCTCTGCCCTGGGACAATTACTCACTGAGTCTTCTCCAAAAAAATTTTTGACTAACATCAAGAATGGCAAACACTCGTATAGAGATTAAGTAAAAAAATAATAATAATTAAAAAGTGAAAGCAATTAAAAAAAAAAAAAAAAAAAAAAAAAAAAAAAAAGGAGAGAGAGAAACAACTCCAAAAATACAGAAACACAACTGAAAACAAGTGATTGTAATGAGAGTTATACTTTGTTTTCATCTTTTTAACTAAACTGTGTTTTAACTGTGGCATAGCCCTGTTAAGGAACTATTGAACTGTGCCAGCTTAGACCCTGCCTAAAGTACAAACAAGGTACTCAAGCTCTACTCACTTCCATACAACACTGCAGAGTGATCACATATTTTTTCCATACTGTTGATGCTTAATTGCAGATACAAAAGCACATGCAGAAATGTTCTTCAGTGTTCAGAATTGAGAGCTTGATCACATCTTCAGTATTATGCTTTGTTTTATTAGTTTGGGAGTGTTGACTTCCTGGAGGAAATGACTTAAATACTCCACTTTATGATCAGTGGAGAGAATTAATCATTTCTAGGACTTGATTCATTTGGCCTACTTTGTATGTCAGCTTCAGAAAATACTGAATTGTAACTAAAATTACCTTTACCCATTGACTATAATGGAATCCACAGGTGACTTGCTCATATCTTGAGAAGACATCACCTGCACCGTGTACAGACATGAACATTTGATTAGATGAATCCTTACCAAATTCTCTTGAAGTTGTGGATACTATACTTGGGCAAAAGGTTAAGTTACTGCATTCCTAAATACTATACACTTTTCATTCATTTTGCACCAGAATTTTAATGTTTCCATGTATGACTTTTCATCCTTTCACCTCACACAGTGTGATGGGTATAACTCCATCTTCCTGATGATCTCTTTTATAAAGAGATGCTGTTAGGTGTACCAAGAGCTATCTTTTCTCCAGACTGGTCAAATCCCACTGCTACAGCCCTTCTCATGGTGTGCTCCAGCTTTTCAACCATCCAGTGATCACAGAGGTCTGTAAACAAAACACAGTGCAGTATGTTGTTAATTTTCATATTAACTCATGTTTACCTTGCAGAAGAGCCGCTCCTCAGCCAGTCCATCTTGAGCTGCATAATTGCACCCTCCTTACCAGGTGCAAAACTTTGCCTTTGTCCTTGCCAGATTTCATGAGGTTCATTCCTCCAACCTGTCCTGGTTACTCTCAATGGCAGCTCTGCCCTCAAGCATAACAACAATCTAAAGTGCAGACCACAATGTCTTTGTATTTACTACGTTATCATA